CACAGGTCAGGCTATTGTTCAGCGAGCCCATCGTACCTTGAAAGCTACCCTCAGTAAACAAAAAAGGGGAGTAGGAGGTTGGGGCTCCGGGCGGTGGCCTACCCAAGCAGACATGGATAAAGCTTTATATACATACAATTTTCTCTGTCTAGATAGAGACACGGGCCTATTCCCCAGCATGCTACAGCTAATAACACCACCCACTTGCAATTCAACTGGCCCCTTAAAAACAGCACTACATGCACCATCCCTTAACCAGAAAGTCCTCTGGAAGGACGATGAGGGAAACTGGCAAGGCCCATCCGTAGTGTTGTGGAGAGGGCCGGGGTATTTATGTCTTACAGATCCTGATGGCCGGAGCCACTGGGTACCAGAGAGAAGAACAAAACGAGTTGAAGAAGCCCCGGGAGAGACAACAAGGATGGGAGAAGAAACACAGTCAACAGAAAATTCAGAGAGAGCAGAAAGAAAAGACAGTTAGGATGACTAAACTGAGTAAACTGTTTTCACTTTTTGCGTGATCAGGATTTTGCCCCAGGTTGCGTCAGCTCCAGTGCCCTGGGCACCCCTGTCAATTATCGTCGACACAAGAGAGAATGGCTGGGGGCACTTGCGTTGGCGGCATCCATCTTCGAGGAGTTCCAGATACAGGACTTATATAGCAGACAGCAATTGCTTGCCTCACAAATAGAGGAGCTGGCCAATAAATTCGCCCATGCCCTCCAAGTGCAGGCTGATATTGATCAGCAGCTGGAGGAACAGATTCAAAAAATAGCATTGGCTACCCAGGACATTGGGAATGAACTTATGTGGCTGGAATTGAGACAGCAGTTGCCATGCGGTGGCCAATATTGATACATTTGTGTAACACCCTTAAACCATAACGCCACTTGCGACACCCCTTCACAAAGCATAAATGACACTCTCCAGGCTTTGTGGGTGTTAATTAGACTGGTGCAGAACCTGACACTTGGCACCAGCACGAGACTGATGATATTGTTCATCACCTTAGTGATTGGATTAAACATACCTCTTTCCCCATCCCCTCCCTTATAACCCATTGGGCATTTATAGCTCTTTTTGCATTTATACTGTTATTGTTACTACCCACTATATTAGGATGTTTCCTTAGGATTCTTAGAGGTTCAATAGAGGCACTCAAAACCGAGGCCCTAGTATTGAGACCCCGTCTCTTCCCCCTCAATTAAACAAAAAGGGGGAATTGTGAGGGATTGTCTGATGTTGGCTACTGCCATGTGGAGGTTGTGGCAAGATGGGGCAGAGACAAGATATTAGGAAGTAACCGGAGCTCACGCTCCCGAGGCAGGGAGCTGTGCCATGTGGAGTTGTGGTGAACTGGGGTAGGAACAGGATACGGGGAAGTAGCCGGAGCATGTGCTCCTGAGGCAGGGGGCTGTGCCACGTGGGAGTGGGATGGCAGAGAACGAGCTCCCTTTGTCTAGTCCTCTCCCTAGGTGCAGCGCTAACCCAGACGTCTCCTTCCAGTATCCGGGCCTAGCTTCCTGTGTCATGTCCTCTCCCTTGGTGCAGCGCTAACCCCAGACATCCCCTTCCAGTATCTGATCCTACAATCATTCACTGGTAGGCGGGCTGAGGAGGAGGGGCTAGGAAGGTATATAGGGGCGGTAGGGATCGGAGTTCGCTCTCTCTTGCTCTTGCTTTCC